TCTGATAGACTTTTCTGTGTTTAATCAAAAACTGGCATAATTAAATTAAATTCTTTATTATTGGTGTCCTGAATCAACAGGCCAATTACAAATACAGCACAAGAGATGAGAAAAATACATGAGTGCAGAGGACGTTAATACATAAGGAAAAATTACTCCTTAATATCTGTAATGATAATTTAAATAAATGAAGTTAATTTATTTAAATAATAATATTAAAATGACAATACATAATTGATTTTTTTTAAAATTTAGTTTATTTAACGACGTCTCTGCAGTAGCCTGTATAGCTTCGAATGAGAGGATGCTAGTAAATTTGAAATGATGTGGAAGGAAGACGTCGTGGTCCAGGTATTTGTCTTATCACGATATTTTTTGTTGGTACTTTGAGATGCCATATTCTTTCCAATCTCATTACAACAGAAATCTGACGGGAAGAGATCCAGGGCCAGATTAGAAGGTAATATTGAAATGTCTTAAGAAAATAGTTTTTGTTGTAATGAATATCATTTAACTGGCTTATGGTAGGGTGTAATGGAGAATTATAATTATATTAGTGATTAATTTTATGGTTCCATAAAAAATTAATTCGGATCATTGTAACGCATCTTGCTGAAGGTGATGTTTTTAACACATACGTTTATGGTAGCTGTAAGTTTTATCTCAAAGAAATAACCTGCTTTGAAACTGTAACACTTCTGGAGAAAAGAAAAATACTCAGACTGAATTTTATTTTCAGCAACGCGGGGCACGATTGAGCTCAGCAATAAAATGGCGGCAGCTGGAGCCAATGCCGTGTTGGTCGTGAATCCCAGTTACTTTAAGAACAGCATGACGGTGGGTCGAGAAGCCCTATGGCGTTCTATTTGCTTATTTAACTAAGTTTAGTCAACTGCATAAATGAAGATGGCTGTCTTCTGGGCTTTTTCGCCGTGTTGTCTGGTAGAGGCCAAGCGAGAATTGGTGGAACATGCGCAAAGGACTGATTGTGGTCGTATGAGATGGACCCGTCCGAAGCACGCGCTAGAGGGATGTCAGCTTTAGTTGGTGTATAGCTCTAGCTGTGTTTAGTTCGGTGCGTCACCGCAGCTGAGTCTGTGCGACCCCCACTACTACTGAACTCCCCTCTCTCGGCTTACACATCGCGCATTTAGGTGCCACCAATACTCGCGCGACCTCTAGAAGGTTATTGACTTTTCGGAGCTGAATGCTGCCTCCACTGTTAGGGCGATGAATAAGCCTCCGGTTGCTTACTTATCGCCCTGGTGAAGGAGGCAGTAATGACGCCTGAAACGCCGGTAAGTATCTAAGAGACTACAAAGCGCCAAACCCCGGAAGACAGCCATTGCCCTTCTAGCGAGAACCTCAAATGCATAGATCCTCAATATGAGTAAATGTCACATCGATAACCCAACTATTATTACGCTTTTAAGTGCGATGCCTATTAGGTTAAACAGCTTAAATAAAATAATATATTTG